ATTAAGTGAGCAATTCTCTTTTGTTAAGAGCTCCCTGTGGATGTACCTTTTGAGAACTGCTTTAGAAATTTTTATTCGGTCTAATATTACTCTCTTCCAAGCCTCCTACATAAATCAGAGCTTCTCAAGGACGGATCAGTTTTATAACAAAATAAATATACTGTTGGAATTTAGCCACCTTTAGTTTCAACTTATTCCTGCTCCTCTTAAGACAAGTTTTGTGTTTTTAGTAATAATCAGCTATTTCTCAGAGACTCTTAGAGTGGAGAATTCGTGAAGTGTTTTGAATCTGAAAGACTCTGAGTCTCCTTTGTGGGGATACATTTGGCCAGCACAGCTCTGGTATTAGGGAAATGAACCTGCGAGATAGCTCACTTATCTGTACATTGGCAAATAGAGAAAGATAGCCTTGTAATAGAGAAAAAAAATCTCAGAGGGGAAAGAAATAATAAAATCAAGCTGGTTTATGGTTTGTCAGTCCAAAAAGCTTTTAAGCCTTATCTATAAAGGTAGATCCACTTAATGTTTGTTCTGCATTTCAGGCATCATTGTGTGATAAGTGGTGTAAATTTAGCCCCTTTAAGCCTGATCTCCTGGGGGTTGAGATTTAAGCGTTGGAACTTTATTTGAAAGAACTCTATCGATTGGGCTTTGATTTGGTCCTTCTTTACCAAAGAGAGGTGCTAAATCATGGTTTAGCTTCCCTGTTAGGGTTTTTTTTTCTCTTTTATTCATTTTATTGGCCTCTCTCTCCCTGCCCCCATTCTCCATGTTCCATTTCTAACTGTTCTGCTTAAAAAGACTAAAGTGGTATAAGAAAGGGGGGAAAAAGGAAAAGAAAAATCAACTGACACCCTGTGAACATAATTGATTCAATAAATAACATCTTTCAATTCCCAAGGAAAACCTCAGTCTTTGCTTATGTCAATTAGTGTTCAGTTCAATAAGTGGTGGAGGTCTTAATTTAGATGGATGGGAAAGTTTGCAGGTTCTTACCTCCTAAGGAAGGAGTGCTTTTCTTATTTCAAAGTCATCCTGTCTGGATTTATGCATCTACTCTGCAAAAAGAAGCTTGAAAGAGAATTAATGTGATAGTTTTTATTCTTCCTGAAAACAGAAAGAAGACATTTAATTATTGTCCAGAGATTTGTTAGAATACAAAAGTGAAACAAAGGAATGAAAATTTTCTGGAATCTACTAGACTGTAAACTCCATGAGGGCAGGAACTATCTTGTGCATTCACCATTTAATCTCCAGTGCACGTAGTAGGTGCATAGTACATATTTGTTAACTGGATCTGTTGTTAAGGGAATAAGAACAAAAAGGGGCACAATTCAGGTTTTCTGTTAACAATTTAGTTAAATTTCATTTCACTGGTTGTTTCATCCCTTGGCCCCAATCCCCTTTCCTCTAATTCTTTTTTTTTTTTTTTAATGGAGTCTCACTCTGTCATCAGGCTGGAGTGCAGTAGTGTGATCTTGGCTTACTGCAACCTTTGCCTTCTGGGTTCAAGCAATTCTCCTGCCTCAGCCTCCCGAGTAGCTGGGACTACAGGTGTGCACCACCACATCTGGCTAATTTTTGTATTTTTAGTAGAGACAGGGTTTCACTATTTTGGGCAGGCTGATCTCAAACTCCTAACCTCAAGTGATCCACCCGCCTCAGCCTCCCAAAGTGCTGGGATTACAGGCATGAGCCTCCAAGCCCAGCCAAGCATTTTTTTTTCCTAGGGCTAAAATGAATGAATGAACGAATATATAAATAAATAGATTTTTTTTTTTTTTTTTTTTTTGAGACAGAGTCTCGCTCTGTCACCCAGGCTGCAGTGCAATGGCACAATCTTGGCTCGCTGCAAGCTCCACCTCTGGGTTCACGCCTTTCTCCTGCCTCAGACTCCTGAGTAGCTAGCACTACAGGCCTGCAACCGTGCCTGGCTAATTTTTAGTATTTTTTAGTAGAGACGGGGTTTCACCATGTTGGCCAGGATGGTCTCAATCTCTTGACCTCGTGATTTGCCTGCCTCGGCCTCCCAAAGGGCTGGGATTACAGGCATGAGCCACCGTGCCCAGCCTCCCCTAATTCTTTAAATGGCAGGTACCTCTTAAGAGTGCAGTATATACTATATCTTCAGAAATGATGAAGGATAACCTATTTCATCAATTCCAAGACTGTCAGAGTTGGAAGAGATGGTGTAAAGTTGCTATTTACAAATTCAAGTAAATGAACTGATTGTGCTTCAGAATCACATTGAAACGGGATAGTTCCCTGACCCCTTCCCATGACTTATGAAGGGGTTGGCTCATTTAGTCAGCAAATAACTCTCAACCCCTTGCAAGAGGGGGAGCGTGCAGGTGAGCAGGTGCAGGATGAGTGCTTCTAGGCAACCAGCAGGAGCAGAACTCTGTGCGGGCCTGTGGCAGCATCTAGAGGTTGCCTGTGACCCCCAGAACCCCAGGGGGTGTGTGTTATAGTGTGCTCTTTTAGCTTTGTCATTCATGGATGGCTTAAGTGTTAAACAGCTCAGTGGAGGGTCAGTGTGACAGCCTTTTGCACTCACACCCGGGTCCTTGTCCTGCGTCCAAGAATAATCAGGTGGCATGAACGAATTGAAGTGTGGTGAATGTGGAGGATTTTACTGAGCAGTGGAAGTGGCTCTCAGCAGGATGGGGAGCTGGAAAGGGGATGGAGTGGAAAGATGGTCTTCTCCTGGAGTTTGGCTGTCCCTGGCTGAATTCTCCGAGGTCCTGCCATCAAGCCATCCCTCTGAAATCAAGCTGCTTCTCTTTGATATCCAGCTGCTTCTTCTCCTCTCTCCTCTGCCACTCTGCCACTACACCGGTGGGGCCTGGGGTTTTTATGGGTACAGGATGGGGGGTGGGGTGGGCCAGGGTGGTTTTGGAAAAGGCAACATTCATGTGGGAAAACAGGAATGCATGTTCTCACTTTGGGCCACAGGTCTAGGCTTGAGGGTGTGGCCCTCACTGGGACTGCCGTTTTCTACCCAGTATTTTCCTGCCACCTGTCCTTATCAACATGAGGTATGTCATACACATACAGACTCAGGCCTGAACCTTGAAATTTCTGACTGAGTCAAACACACTCTTGGGTAGACTCTTGGGAATCTGTTTTCTTTTTTGACTTTCCTAGTAAGGCTAGAGTGCAGCTGGGTATAGAAAGCACTAATCCCATCTGCCTCTCAGTGCCCTAACCTCTGTGGTCTATGTTACTCCTTGGTAAAAGTGATCAGCCTAAGGTACCCAGCGGAATGACTGGTGGAGTTGTGACTAGAACTCAGGTCTCCTACCTCTGACAGTGGTGCTCCTGGTCCTGTGGTTTACTGCTTTGGTTTAGCAAACACTCCTTACTACTCAGCATTCTCTCAAGATCCAGTAATACTTTTTCCTTCCAAGATAATGGTAGTATTTGTGGTGATGGCCAGGCAGAATCTGAAGGACCTTCTGAATCCTCAAGGAAATACTAACTTTAGTTTAGTCTACTTTGGTGTTAAATATATGTTATTGTCTTCTCTAGTGATGCCTTTGATTACCCTCTGTCTCCATCCCTGGTCTCAGATCCCAAGTGGGAAATCTCTGCCTTTTTCCTGTGGGACCACTTGATGTTCACAGCCCTGCCTAATCATAAGATGAATTATGGGTGCCTGTTAAGGGCATAGAGCTGTGGTGCCTGCTTGAGTCCCATTAAATCAGAATTTTCCTGGGAGGGGCCTGGGGATCTGTATTTTAAGTTCCCCTTATCATGATTCTCTGCAATAATTCTCAGGTTCAGGTCTCTGAAAATAGCACCTCCCTTTCCCATGGATCCAACCTTGATGTCCTGGAGTCCCCACTTTGTAAATTGCATCATAACCCTCTCTTCCCACTTGAAGGTTTATCCTCTGGTCTGTAAAACTTGTCCTTTAAGAAAGAAAGGAATTTCTGCTTTCTTCTTTCTTCCAAGGTAGAATTTTTCTGGACAGGATACTGAGTAGACAGGTGGGTATAGACAGTAGCAGAATGAACATTGCAAGAAGGCTCACGGATGCCTTTGAAAAGGAAGAGGGTGCCTATGCTCTTTCCCTGGCTTTATTACTTAATAGTTGTGTAACTTCGGGCAAATTATTTAAACTTCTTTGAGTTTCTGTTTCCTCATCAGTAAAATGTGGGTAAGAATAGTACTTATTTGGCGGTTTTATGTGTATTAAGGTGTCCTATGTCAGCTCTTGGGACACAGACTCAATTTGAGATTTGCCTGCAGCGGGTATTGGAGAGTGCACTCAGGAACAACTCTTGTCATGGGGTATGGGAAGGGATTTTTGAACTGCAATGCACTTGAAACAAAGGTCTTAGCTGATCCCTTGGGAAGCTTTGAGGGTTGGATGCTCCCCAGAGTTGTCCCAAATTAAGGGAAGGGGCCAGGTCTTTATACCCCTGTACCTACCAGTCATCCAATGTTGTAGGCTGCACCTGGAGGGACATGACTTCAGGTAAGGCAGTTCCGTTTGACTGAGGTTGTCTGTGTGCCAGCTGCAGCCTACAGTGTTGGTGGAAAGGGAAGGAGTGCTTTAGTTCTGGGAGGGATCTCAGTGGTACACCATAGCACTCGCTACCCCCAGGTAATGCACATAAAACCCCTGCAGTGAATCTAGCATATTTGTAAATGTTCAATGAATATTAACTACTGCCATTATCATTCTAGCTCTGGCGGGGCCACTTTCAAGAAGTTATTTAACTACTCTTGGGCTGTTTTCCTATGTTTAAAATGGAGATCGTAAGCTCTGTTCTGCCTACGTTGCTGAGTGGTTCTGAGCAAATGCGGAGATAATGTATGTGAAATTGCTGAGTAAAATATTATAAAAATGTCAGGTGTGGCTATGAGCCTACTTTTTTGAAATGAATCTATGGCCATGACCTGGATTCTTTGAAGGGAAAAGGTTGTGATAAATGTAGAAGTACTTGTCTGTGAAATAGGGCATTTTAATTTTGTTTTCCTTCTTTCTATAGGGAATTAGAATCATGGAGATGCTGCTAAAGGAACAGTGTGGTGCCCCCGTAGCTGAATAAAGAATCATCAGTGAGTACCAAAAGCAAAGTCAGAATTATTTACGCAAGCCATATTTTCATGCTTATCAGCCTGGTATTCGAAAGCAGCCTCCCTGGGCTATTCACGCTGCACATTTCCCAGTTATATGCACAGAATACTATTTCACAGGTGTTTTATCTCTTCAGTACTTTTATTTACTTGGTCCTTTGATTTTCAGAGCAGTTTTGTATTACATGCTGGGTTACAACTCTATTCAAATTGTTAAAACTGTTGCACAATCTACCATGATTGAGAGCCTCAAGCTGTCATAGATTTGTAAAGACTGCAGCTCAGATTAACTGAAGCTTAATGTTTTTGTTCTGAAAATAATCAAAGGAAGGCTTTAAAAGTGTAATTGGAGCACGAAGAGAAACAAGGAAGGGGCATGTTGATTGGCCAGTGAAACAAATATCTCTTATTAGTCATCTGCATTTCCACTGATTATGGGTAGCTGCCTGAAATGCTATTGAAAGGGATTCTGAGGTCTTGAGAGTAATTCCCAGGCTCTGGGTAAGAGCGCCTTGATGGTTAACAGTGTCTGCCATGGGCAGAGGATGGAAGGAAGACAGCACTCATGCTGAAGCACGTGCCACATCTAGGGCAAATGGTACAGGGTTAACAGATAGTGGGAGATTGCAGAACTACTCAACTCCCTATCCCCACCCCCTAAATTTCTGTTGTCTAAATCAGGGAGAATGGTCTTTATAGTGGAAAGGGCAGGACAGAGTTATTTAAGAGAGAATCAAAGCCCAAAATAAATGAGTATGATAGATCTATATCTTACAGAATTTATAGGCTTTAGGTTTTTTTTGTTTTTTGTTTGTTTGTTTGTTTGTTTGAGATGGAGTCTTGCTCTGTTGCCCAGGCTGGAGTGCAGTGGCCTGACCTCAGCTCACTGCCACCTCTGCCTCCTGGGTTCAAGTGATTCTCCTGCCTCAGCCTCCTGAGTAGCAGGAACTACAGGTATGCACCACCATGCCTGGCTAATTTTTGTATTTTTAGTAGAGAAGGGGTTTCACCATGTTGGCCAGGCTGGTCTTGAACTCCTGACCTTGTGATCCACCCGCCTCAGCCTCTCAAAGTGCTAGGATTACAGGCGTGAGCCACCGTGCCCAGCCAGCCTTAGGTTTTTAACATCTGAGAGTTGAAACCTTTGAATAAAACAAACTTTGCCTTGGGTAATGTAGAATTACCTCAAATTTTCTTGTGTTGGTTTAATCGAGACATGTGGTCTTGTGTAAGCAACCTGGTATTCTAATTGTGATAAACAATAAAATTTGAGAGCAGTTAACCAATAAGAAGCAAAGGGAACATCATATAGAAGCACCTTGGCGTACAAAGCATGCTGTCCAGACCTGTGAATGAACATTATTTGGAGAATTGTAAAGTCTTTCTGCTTATTTGCAGGTTGGACTCCATTTTGTAATATTACACCTCTGTCTACTTAATACATATTAATAGATTCTTATATTACTAGAAAAGCTAAACAGGATAATTTCATTTAGCATAGGCATACACACAGCAGGTGCTCATAAAATGCTGGAATTGGATCTAAATATGGTTTACTCCTACACCCACCCTGTTCCTTAAAAAATTATAGAGAACAACTTGGCCACATCTCCCTGTTTTTCTCGGCTAGTATATTTGTGAGGCTCACTAAGCACCTCTTGCACTTGCATGCTTAAGCACAGATCCCATCTTACTCTGGGGGGTGGGATCTCGAGTCAGCTCCAAGGTAAATGAAGGAATGAGGGGTCTCCATTTCCATGGGAAATGTATACACCTATTGGTCTTCAAACTTCAAATTAGTGGTTTTGAAACTGTCTTGAGCATCTGAGTCATCTGGAGGATTTAACACAGATTGGTGGGCCCCACTCCCCAAGTCACGATTCAGTGGGTCTGAGATGGGGCCTGAGCATTTGTGTTTCTAACAGTTTTCCAGGTGATGGTGATCCTGGTCCTAGGGCCACACTTTGAGAATGGCAGTTTCAAATGAGTTCACATCTCTGGGTAGAGACAGATGAAATGTCAGGGCACTGAGAAAGCTAATAGGAGTTAGGAGTTAGATATTATTGTCGTGCATTCGGTCAACTTTTGATTAATAGGAAGAATGATATTCTTTGTATGGCTTTTCCCTGATTTTAGCATCTCAGCTTCTTGTTTGCCCCCTTTTTTGTTGCTTAAATGTGGCCAGGCTCCACCCTCGAGAAAATGCAGTTGAAAAGAGGGGAGGTGAGATTCACATCAACTTGTACTTTAAATCAATTTGGATTTAAATTGTTGGTAGTGAAGATGAGTAAATTAAACAAGTTTATAGCATTACCTATTGTCTTGTTACCCATGTTCTGTGTTTTGTTTTGTTTTATTTTGAGACAAGGTCTCGCTGTTCTGTTGCCCAGGCTGGGGTGTAGTAGCGCCATCACGGCTCATTACAGCCTTGACCTCTGGGGCTCAAGCAATCCTCATACCTCAGCCCCCTTAGTAGCTGGGACTATAGGAGTGTACCACCACACCTGGCTAATTTTTTCCTTTTTTGTAGAGATGAAGTCTCCCTATGTTGCTCAGGCTGGTGTGTTTTGTTGTTGTTGTTGTTTGTTTTTTTGCCCTGTGGTTGAAGGCTAAGCCATGAACTTGGGGCATCGTATTGTTGGTGAAAAGCAACTTATTCTCCTCTCTTAAGTGAAATGGTCGAGGTCTGAATATAACTAAGAGTTTAGTACAGGACAGTTGCATGTAATGCATTCAATGCAATGAAATTTCCTGAAGGATTTACATAATTCAAAATCTCAAAATTCATGACCAGTTTTCTCAGAGGAGTAACTGTAAAGTAGGGGATATATGTATATGTATGTATGTACTCTTACCACATAAATCTACAATTTGATGTTGCATCGAATGCTGCCAGCTTATTCTTTTACTTTTTTCCCATTTTCTTGACTATTCTTACAGAGTTTTTCAAGTTTGAAATGTGCCTATTTTAATGGAACTTTTAAATTTCTCAGAAATAACTGTATGGAAAATGGAGGGGGTGGTTGTAGGTGGGAGTACTATTGTTTTCATGAGTTGTAAAATGCTACATTAAAAGAAGTGGGGGAAATAAGCTCTATAGCTATAATAAAGTAGAGGCCAAAAAACTACAGCCTATAAACCAAATTTATCCTGCTTCCTGCTTTTATAAATAAAGTTTTATTGGAACACAACTATGCTCCTATGTTCTAAGCTACAACTCAGAGTTGAATAGTTGTAACAGTGACCTTACAGCTGCAAAGCCTAGAATATTTACTGTCTAGTTCTTGAAGAAAATTTTTGCCTACTGAGTTAGTATCCTAAATTGACATCAAGGAGTGTTGTGGTGAATGGCCTTTTAAAATACAGTTTGACAGTTTGTTTTTCTTGCATTAGCTCTAACATCAACACTTTGTGAAGACTTGGCTGATTTTATATTAAGACATAAAAAGGTATTAAAATAATAACAGAAAGTTAAAATACCAGCAACAGTGGTCACTAAAATTGCTCATAAAGTTCCAATGCACGTACACAATGGAGTAGACATGTAGGCATTTAGTTTGGCACATAAAGTGGCACTGTGATGAGGCTGTAGGGTAGATGCTATTTATAATTTACTCAATTTGCCAGCTTTGGAATTTTGCAATTTTTGATACTTAAAAGACGTTTTGTGGGATTTGCAGAAATGTGCATAAGGAGACAGTATTTAATATTTTTATGTCATACCATATTTTAAATTTGCATAATTTAAATTCACATAGGAAGTGACTACATTCCACGTTGTACCTAACATTAAAGATACTTCACAGAACTCTCCGATCTGTATGTCCAAGTGGGTATTTGAAGATTAGAAAGCTTAGAAGGTGATTTTTGTCATGAGCCAAAATGGAGACACATAAATCTCACTAACCAATATGTTTGTGGCGTTGCTGTTGACACATCCTTTTGATAGATTTTTGATTTCCTGTCATTTTTGAATAAAACAAATAACCCTGACATCTGTCTGTTCTTGCCACTGGCGGTTGGGAGATCAGGCTTGTTGAGATTTGACAGCATAGCAGAGTTCTATCACATTGGAATGATTAAGACCTCAATTTTAGCTATATCTTAACTCTTCTCTGAACCAGCTCCTTTGGGTAGTTGGACTTAATAAAATGAGGTGCTTGCCTTGTTCGAAGATCATTAGGAGGGAGAAATGCAATTTCAAGAATTATCCATAGTGATAGAATTCAAGTGGACTCTGAAGAGTTGCTTCAGAAAAGAGGGCAAATAGGTATTGATTGGTGAGACATGTTTATGAGGTGATAAAGCCTGTTTGCTTTCTCTTGCAGGAGAGCTGTATCCATGTCTACTTTTTTATTTTTATTTTTTATTTTTGAGAATCACTTCTTGGCCACAACACATCACAGACACAGTTTCTGGAATACAGGTTTGAAGATACAGTGTCGGCAGCTTCAAGAAGAGAAGACTTTCTTGCCAGGACATAAAATGATATCCTCCTCTGGGATCCTACTTCGAATAGTGGAACTCAGGGAGATGAGATCTTCTTGCTGGATTTTTATGACACAATCTCTTTATAATTTTACAAATAAAGGAAAAAAGACCCATGTAAGATGATGTGTGCCCTTCCTCAGGGTGTGCTGCTGGTTGTCTGGTGATGGTGTGAGGGCAGCTAAGGACAGGATAAAGGCCTGGAGAGGGTGCTTGTGCCCTTATGTTATCAGCACCATTGTTCATAGGATTTGTGAGGGGATTCTGGAACCAATAAGGGAGTTGAAACTGGTACCTGATTCACGGGTGGACTGGAACAAACAGGAATGTGCCAGACCTATGTTGAAGCTAAGCCGTATTTATAACAATGTTTAAGATTCTCAGAAATCAGGAGATTTTTATCCTATCCATAAGTAATAGGTAACTGCCATTAGTATAGCTTTTAGAATGTAACATGTAAACTGTGATTTGGTCCTCTGAAAAGAACATGAAATGAAGAGTGGGAAGGCAGTTTCTTGTCTGCTAATTCGTTCTGTGATGTGGAGCAAATCATTAACCTCTCTGTTTTTTATTGGGCAAATGGGAATAATCAGGCACAAGTCTTTCCACCAATGCGTTATGGTGATTAAACAAGGTAATTTTGTGTAGGTTTTTAAGTCAACAGACAGACCTGGGATTGAATCCAAGTGCTGGCACCTACTTGCTCAGTGATCATGAACAAAATTTTAAATCTTTCTGAACCTCATTTAAAAAAATTTATGAAACAAGATGATAGAATTAACTTTGTGAGATTGTTGAACTGATCTGAGATCATGCCTATGAAGCACCTAGCATGATGCCTGGTGCATAGTAGAAGACCAGGAAGTGGAAGCCATTATTATGTAAAACATTTTGCAAATGTACTTTTTAACTGTAATGTAAGGTGGTACTACTGTTTGAAACTTAGATGGCAGTAGTTTGCATTTCTCGTGATCAGAAGCCAAAATATAAATACATACTATCTAAAAAATCTTCAAGAGTGGTAATAATTTGGAATTCATCTTCTTAAGATAAAAATCAGGGCAGGGCGTGGTGGCTCACGCCTGTAATCCCAGCACTTTGGGAGGCTGAAGCGGGTGGATCACAAGGTCAGAAGTTCAAGACCAGCCTGGCCAATATGGTGAAACCCTGTCTCTACTAAAAATACAAAAAAATTAGCTGGGCATGGTGGTGCATGCCTGTAATCCCAGCTACTCAGGAGGCTGAGGCAGGAGAATTGCTTGAACCTGGGAGGTGAAGGTTGCAGTGAGCTGAGATTGTGCCACCGCACTCCAACCTGGATGACAGAGCAAGACTCCATCTCAAAAAAAAAAAAAAAAGAAAGAAAACAACAACAACAACAACAAAAATCTGGCCATTACTGGAGAGTCTTGGGGAATTTTTTTTTTTTATTATACTTTGTGTTCTAGGGTACATGTGCACAACGTGCAGGTTTGTTACATATGTGTACATGTGCCATGTTGGTGTGCTGCACCCATTAACTCGTCATTTACATTAGGTATATCTCCTAATGCTATCCCTCCATGCTCCCACCACCCCACAACAGGCCCTGGTGTGTGATATTCCCCTTCCTGTGTCCAAGTGATCTCATTATTCAATTCCCACCTATGAGTGAGAACATGCGGTGTTTGGTTTTCTGTTCTTGCGATGGTTTTCTGAGAATGATGGTTTCCAGCTGCATCCATATCCCTACAAAGGACATGAACTCATCCTTTTTTATGGCTGCATAGTATTCCATGGTGTATATGTGCCACATTTTCTTAATCCAGTCTGTCATTGATGGACATTTGGGTTGGTTCCAAGTCTTTGCTATTGTGAATAGTGCCACAATAAACATATGTGTGCATATGTCTTTATAGCAGCATGATTTATAATCCTTTGGGTATATACCCAGTAATGGGATGGCTGGGTCATATGGTATTTCTAGTTCTAGATCCTTGAGGAATCACCACACTGTCTTCCACAATGGTTGAACTGAAAAAATGTCTGAAAAAATTTCCACATAATTTATTGATGAATTTCAAAGTAATTGCATTTTTTCATACAAGCTTGCCACTGTGAGCCTCTTCTTATTGTATCTGAGCTCTTTGTGCTGCCTGAATTTTGTCTCTGAATTTCTTTTCAGCTTCATAGGGTTTCATTCTTCAATTGTGTTGGAGGGAAAAATAATGGTAGAAACTGAAATACACTTTGACCTTTTTTTCCAGCTTGTAAATGGCATTTGGTAGGCTTTTGGAGTAATAGCCTATTTCCAAAAATAAGAGGTGATACAAATTATTGTGGAGGTGAGAGACAAGAAATTTGTATTTGGAGGTTGACATTAGAGTAAGTTTAACCCTTCACACTCAACAACGCCCATCCTCTGAAGGGAGGAGTTCTCAACCTTGGCTGTCTGTTAGGATTGCTTGGGGAGCTTTCCGCAATTCTGATGCCTGGGTTGCTTCCCAGACCAAGAACTCAGAATCTCAGATAGTAGAACCAAGACATCAGCATTTAAAAAAACTCCTTAGGTAATTCCAGTGGGCAGCTAAGAACACTACAATGACTTCTAGGTATTTGCAGACATTATCCTATTTTTTTTCTTAATATCTCTGTGGTTGGAAAGGATCTTTATAGCAGGATTTTTTTATTAGAAATAGAGTGAGGCACAGAGAGGTTGAATTTCTACCTTGTGTGCAGGGGTGGCCAATGGTAGTGCTTGCAGGGATCAGGCAGCTGGTCTGAAGAGGGAGGCAGGCTGGGGCCCCTGGGGTGACGCCACTGGGAGCACATACCTGACTGAAAGTAGGCAGCTTTTGCCCAGTTCCAGCACAGTGTGGTTGTGTCGCTGGTCTTTTTTAGTACTTCCTATTTCCAATTTTCTAAGAAAAGACAAAATTAAAAAAAAATCTCCCAGTTTTTTATTGGCAACCAATTCAGAATTGTTTAAAACATTGTGCTGGCCAAAACAAAAAACATGTTTGCAGCCAGTAGTTTTTAGCCTCTGCTTCCAGAGTGTTAAGGACAGGCCAAAACATCCTGGCCAAGCTGTAATAGATTTGCATTTTTGTGTTCTGGATGCATGCTGCATTCTACCTCTCCTCCAAGACTACTTTTAGATGTATCTTCCTCCTCATTCCTAAATAATCCTCAAGGATTACTTTTCCTCACTCAGTATTTTTCCCCCTGCAGGCAGCTATTGCTTCCAGCTTCACATATATGGCTGAGAAATCTTATGGTCTTTTTTTTTTTTTTTTTCATTTCCTTATTTTTTTTGAGATAGGATCTCACTATGTTGATCAGGCTAGTCTTGAACTTCTGGCCTCAAATGATCCTCCTGCCTCTGCCTCCCAAAGTGCTGGGATTACAGGCATGAGCCGCTGTGTCTGTCCTCTTGTTGGAATTAATTAGGGTCTGTTAATTTTTTTTAAAATTATATGTTTTGTGATAAAACATTTAGAAGTCCATGTTTTTTATTCTGTACCGTGTAGCTGACGAACTGTCAGAACCAGGAGTACAGCCTTATTGGGCACACTAGAAACAAGAGTGGGAAAGGGTTAATTCACAAACCTGGACAGTCTCCTCCTGTCTTCAAGGCAATGATTCAGTCTGTGATTCTCAGACTTCCCATGTACCGGAAATCTCTGGGGAAATGTGCTAAAGTGCAAGTTCTCAGGGCCTTTCCCCAGTGATTCTGATTCATGGAATTTCAGTTGATCACTCAGCACACAGTATAAAGTTCTTATGCAGAGAGAAGCTGACTTGAACTATCACTATATGATTGAGGTGCTTTTACCAGGAAGGGGCTTTTATAGTTTCAATCATATATGGATGAAAAAGGTGCTGTATTCTTTTTCTATGAACTATTTTGTGTATTTTATAAGCAGTATATATGTACTGATATTCCGCAATAATGGTGAGGAATTGTAGGGTGCATGGTGTAGAAAACTCAAGGTTATTCTTTTAACTTGCACATCTTTTTTGCTTTATTTCAATCATTTACGTCAAACTATTTCTTAATTTAGTATACATTTCTCTGCTTTTGCAAACACAGTCTACTGGGGATAATTAAATCTTTTCAGAGTCGTCATATATGTTTTTAATTCTTTCAGGTCCTACTTAGTTTTGTTAAAGTCCCTACACTGAAGGCTCCAGATATGTTTGCTCTTTGAGTTCTACCATGGTTTTTTAGAGTTTTTCTTTTCCCTCACTTTTATCTGTCATTTATCTCTCCCATTACTGTTTCTACTTCTAGGAACCTTTCTCTAATTTGCCCTGGGGTTGGGAAATTGTGTAACTACATACTATATGTTGAGTAAGAGTAGAGAGGATTTGAATGAGGTTTTGAGAGGCTGTTCTAGCAATAAAAATGAATGTACTTTGCTACACTGACTTGGTGACATTAATTTAGTGGCTTAACTCCCTTCCTCTAACTCACTTCTTTATCCTCATCTGCAGTTGTCATATTTGTGACCTCATGGCAACTGAGATATTGCTAGAAATAATTTCTCTTGATCAATAAACCATTGTCTCCCCCAGTTGTGTTAGTGTTTTTGTGTATTCAGTTCTATAATGTGAAACTTAAGAGGATTAAAACTCAAAAAATTCTCAGGCCAAGTTTTTGTGTGGGATGAAGTGTTTCTGATTCACTGTTACTGTGATATAGAACTATAAATTAGTTGTTTACCTATGAAATTCCTTCCTGCAGTCATTCTGAAATAAAGTTGTTACAACTAATATTTATGTGTGCATTCTAATTTGGGGGGTATCCTATCTCTCAGCCGAGCTTATGGTTATCGTTAGTAGTAATAATCCTAGTCCTTTTCAGCTGCCCCAGATGAGGGTGTTATCCCGACCATATGACGTTAGCTCCCTGCCTTCCCTCAAGGTGAGACATTAGAGTTTCTCCCAGAAATAAGCAGAGGCCACAATTATTGAGTGACCTGGGTGGGCCATGTGCTAATGGAACAAAGGACCAGTATCCGCAGAGGGAGAAGTAATGAAGCCCAACATGGACAAACAGAATGAAGCCAGGTGTTCCCAAAGGGTGAAGGAGAGAGAGAGTAGCTCCTTGTTGGCCTGTGAGGCTCAGCTCTATTTTCT